CGCCCCGCTGCCCCGGGCCAATGCCTATCAGATGGTCCGCCGGCGTGCGCTGGCGGCCGGGATCGGCACCGCGATCAACAACCATTGTTTCCGTGCGACGGGGATCACCGCCTATCTGAAGAATGGCGGCACGCTGGGAGCGCGCGGCCGCGATAATAACCATGCCTCCACCCGTACGACCCAGCTCTATGACCGGCGCTCGGATACGGTGACGCTGGATGAGGTGGAGCGGTGATCATCTGACATGTCGGATTGTCGACATGTTATTATAGCGGGCGGGGCATGGAGAATATCACGGCGAACCGACTGGCGGCGGGATCAGTGCTGCGCTTCGCCTATCTCGCGCATCTCGCGCTGGTCCTTCCGTCAGCCTGCTATTCGGTCTGATCGGCATGATGGGCGGCAGCACAGTCCATTATAATGGCGTGCGGTTCATGGCTTGCCGGCGTTATTCATTGCGCTAGCGCTGGGGGCCGTCTTTCCTGTGCTGCCGGCCTTGTGGTTCTGGCTGGGTGTCCGGTCCTGCGGCTCTTGCGGGGCAGGGGCCCGGCCTGCGCATCCGGCGGGACTGAAGCCCTCGCTCTGCCGGGCCTTTCCTTCCGCTGGTCGCAGCCGGATGGCGCTCGGCGACCCCATCGATAAAGCACCGCGGCCCTGGCCCAATTCATACTCGAAAGCACGAATTCAATCGCCCACGAGGCTGATTTCCCAAGGGGCAGGGCGCTGGCCCTCCCCAAAGTTCGTGCTTTCGGTATGAAATCAACATGACCCGTACGCCCACCTCCGCGCGCAAGAAGGACGCCAGTCCCCCGATCGCCGGCCCGCCCGCAGGGCGACCTGTTCCACCTCGACAGCCCCGCTGACCAGCGAGATCCGGGGCGAGCGCTCGCTCATGGCCTTTCCCTTCTTCGCGCTCAGCAAGACCGCGTGGATGAAGCCGCTGACCTATCATCACGCCAATGTCTCGATCGAGGTCCGCCCCTCGGCGCGGGGTGGCGACCATCTATGACAAGGAGATCGTCCTACATCGCCAGCCTGATGGCGGGAAAGATCGAGCGCGGCGAGGAGGTGGGGCAGGACTTCATCTTCACCGCGCATGACCTGTTCTCGGTGACAAGCTCCAACCATTCGGCGCGCTCCTATCAGCGGCTTTCCGAGGCGCTGGAGCGGCTGCAGGGCACGCAGATCAAGACCAATATCGAGGCGGGCGGCGAGGGCGAGGAGGGCTTCTTCTCCCGGCTGTCCGAGGCGCGGCTGCATTACTCCAAGACGCGCACCGGCGAACGGCGGCTGAAGGCGGTCAAGGTGCGGCTGTGCGACTGGCTCCACCGCGCCATCCTGCGCGATCGGCAGGTGCTGGCCTATGCGGCGGCCTATTTCCAGCTCGGCCCGGTCGAGCGGCGCATCTACGAGGTCGCGCGTGCGACCGCCGAGGAGGGCGGCTAGAGATCGACCGCGACCTTCCGGCTCCAGATCGGCTATCAGAACCCGCTCGCCAATTTTCGCGCCGCGATGAAGGCGATCGCGCAGGCCGACGCCATTCCCGATTGCGAGTCGAAGTCATCGAGGATGCCGAGGCGAGGAACCCGCCGAGGGGGGGGCGGGGCGGCGCGCGCCCTCTGCCCGGGTGATCGTGACCGCGCGTCCGCCAGCGCTTCCGGATGAGGTTTCGAGGCACCGCGAATCACATCGGCGCCTATCGAAGCGTGATTCGCGGGGGCGATCAATTCATGCTTGATAGCACGAATTATCGGGGTGAATTCATACTCGAAAGCACGAATGCTTCGCTGAATTCATATCCGATAGCACGATAGCGCGCCCGAATTTTGTAATTCGGGCGCTGTTTAATTCATACTCGAAAGCACAGATCGTCACGGCTTACTTTGTTGGAGATTTACGCAAGGTTAACCCATATCGCGGGTCAGAGACCTGTGAAGGCAGCATATGGGAGCGGTCGTGACCACATAAAGGAAAGCCCGGCACGAAGGCCGGGCATCAATATTACAGGGCGACGTCGCCAAACGTCGATCCGGGGCATCCACACCCCCTCCTGATACGCCTGTCGCCCCTGCGGTTCAGGATGCGCGCTTCGCGCCGCGCCTTCTCGTCCTTTTTTTGGTCCGGCCCCGGAAATGGGGAAGGAAGATGACGGCGTTCACCTTTGGTGAAGCGACGACGCGCGCGTTTGCACAGGCCGCGGCCACTCGTGGTCGGGGACATCCGGGCGCGTGGGCCATCGCACCGGCGCGCGTGTCCGCCGTGACAGCATCGAGGCGGGGACGTTCGAGGACATGTTCTTCGCCACGCCGGCCAAGGGCGAGTGCGACCGGCTGATCCGCATGGCCCGCACCGCGCTGGATGCCGGTCGGCGGATCAAGCGCGAGCGCGGGGGCAGGGCAGGGCGTTGACCGGCCTGAACAGGCGCTGGCCAGCCTGACGGCGGGCGCGGTGCGGGTCTATGAGGAGTTGTGCACGCTCGCCCGGCTCAATGCGGGCGTGTCTATCCCAGCTATGACCGACTGGCGGCCGCGACCGCGCTCGGCCGTGCCACCGTCGCGCGCGCGCTCAGATCTGGAGGAAGCCGGCTTCCTCGTCCGCCAGCGCCGGTTCCGGCGGGTGGAGGCGAGGGCCAGAACCCGCTGGGAACAGACCTCAACGCCTATCGCCCGGTCGTGGCCAAACGGTTGTTATCGCTGCTGCCCGCTGCCCTCCGCCCGCCCCGGTTCCCGACGATGTCCTTCAGCATGTGGCCGGGCAGGCCGAGGAGCAGGAACGGCTCAAGGCGCACTGACCTGTCGCGAACTGGCGCAGTTCACCGTGGGAGAGCGCCAGGCCGCGTACTGGCCCGGCTGGGCATTGCCATTGATCGACAGACGCCCGTGCGAGAGTCTCATGCTGATCCTGACCCCTTCCAATTTATTTGAAAGGAGAGTAAGGCCCTCACCCTTGTCGGGTGAGACGTCCCCTAACGCCCCTGAGGCCCGTGGAACGCCCGCCACAAACGATATAACCGGGGAAATGACAGGAAGCGCCAGCTTCGCCGACGCCATGCTCCCCGGAAGGAGCAAGCGGATCCGTCAGCCTGTCCCTTCGGCCTGTTTGGTGATGTGAGGAGGAGATTCGAAATAAGCCTGATCCGGCCATCATGTGTCGTTTCCTACTCGACACGTCGGCCTGTCGACATGTAGTCTATATGACATGCCGACAATCGCGATCATCAGCCAAAAGGCGGTGCGGGAAAAACGACCACCGCCATCCATCTTGCCGCGGCAGGACAGGAAGCCGGCGAGGTTTCGCTCATCATCGATACCGATCCCTGGGCGACCGCCAGCCAATGGGCGTCCTGGCGCCACGACGCCGCCGAAGTCATCGACAGCCCACCCCACGCCTCGCCGCCAAGGTCGAACAGGCCAAGGGGCAGGGGCCAAGCTGATCGTCATCGACACGCCCCCCCGCCGACAGCGCCGCCCGCGCCGCAGTCAGGGCAGCCGACTTAGTGCTGATCCCCTGCCGTCCGAGCGCCTTCGACCTTTCGGCGATCAGACGACGGCAAACTGGTCCAGCTGCTGCGCAAGCCGGCCTTCGTCGTGTTCACCGCCGGCAATCCCAACGCCCCGCGCGTCTATGCCGAGGCGGGCGAGCTGGTCAAGCTATGGCACCCCGCCATGCCCGATCCTGATCCCCGACCGCGCCGCGTACCGCCACGCTTCGGCGGAGGGGCGCACCGTCATGGAAACCGAACCCGCAGGCAAGGCCGCGGAGGAAATCCGTGAACTCTACAAGTGGACATGTCGACAGCTCGACCTGCCTGCGCCCCGTTTCAAGAAAGTCGCCGCAGAGCCGCAAACCCAGCTTCGCCAATCTGCGCGATCGTACCGCGTCAGTTGCTGCACCTTCCCATCCGGCTGCTGGGACTAGTGGAGACGATCAAAGGGCAGCCGCCCCGCTAGCCGTGGTCGCAAGCAGATCGCAGGCTTCTTCACGCCCGACATGTCACTGGCGATGCACATGATGGCACGACGCCAAGGCCGAAAGCCTCGGGCGCTGATGGCTGAGGCATTCAACGATGTGCTCAGGAAATACAGGGAAAGCCCGGTAGGGGAGTAATGGGAGCGGTACAGCCGCCCCGATCACATATTCAATTCTTGATTGCGTTCAGGATCGCCCGACCATAGGCCGTCTTCTTGAACCGCTCACCGGCTTCCCGCGCCTGATCGGCCGAGATGAAGCCCATTTCATAGGCGATCTCTTCTAGGCACGCCACTTGGAACGCCCTGCCGGTGCTGAAGGGTACGAACAAATTCGCCTGCCTCGAGCAGGCTGTCATGCGATACCGGTGTCGAGCCAAGCATAACCTCGACCCATCTGTTCGACGAAGGGTCACCCGCCTCCATGTAGAGGCGGTTGAGGTCAGTGATCTCTAGTTCGCCGCGAGCAGAAGGCTTCAGATTGCGAGCGAATTCTACGACGCGATTATCATAGAAGTATAGCCCGTGACCGCATGATTGGACTTGGGATGGGCAGGCTTTTCCTCCAGACTGATCGCGCGGCCGCCTTTCGCCGAACTCGACCACGCCGTAGCGTTCAGGGGTACTCGACGCGGTAGCTGAATACGGTCGCACCCTTGGGGCGTGCGACCGCGCTGGCGAGGAGGTCAGTCAGGTGTGCACCGAAGAAGATGTTATCCCCAGCACCAGCGCGACGTTATCGTCGCCGATAAAGTCCGCGCCGATGATGAGGCTGGGCCAGACCGTCGGGGCTGGGCTGTTCAGCATAGGACATGGTCAGGCCGAAGGCTGAGCCATCGCCGAACAGGCGGCGATAATTGTCGATGAACTCCGGCGACGAGATGATCAGGATGTCGCGGATACCCGCCAGCATCAGGACACTGAGCAGGTAATAGATCATCGGCTTATCATAGACAGGCAGCAGCTGCTTGTTGACCGCCGGGGTGGCCAGGTGAAGTCAGGTGCCCGAGCCTCCGGCGAGAATGATGCCCTTCATTTCGTGGCTCCGATCAGTTCGTCGAGAATGTCGCTCAAGGCCATCTGCCAGTCGCGCGGAGCGATGTCATAGGCGGCGTGGATCGCGCTGTGGCTGAGCAATGAATTGGCGGGACGGGCCGCAGGCGTGGGATAGTCGCTGCTGGGGATCGGCACGACCGCGGCGGAGGGACCGCCGCGCGCATCCGACTGGCGGAAGATCTCTGTGGCGAAATCGGCCCAGCTGATGGCCCCGGCATTGCTGAAATGGAAGGTCCCGGTCGGCGCGGCCTCGTCCTCGATCAGCCGCAGCGCGATGGTCATCAGGGCGTTCGCCGGTCGGCAGCGCTGGTCGGCGAGCCATGCTGGTCGGCAACTACCGACAGCGTGTCGCGGCTTTCCGCCGGGCGCAGCATCGTCTTGATGAAGTTGTGGCCATGCGCGGACACGACCGGGCGCGGTGCGAACGATGGCATGGCGCGCGCCAGAGGTACGCACCGCCAGCTCTCCGCCCAGCTTGGATGCGCCATAGACGCCGAGCGGGGTGACCGGATCGTTCACCTCCACGCGCCTTGCTTGTCGCCGGCGAACACATAGTCGGTCGACTTGGACCAGCGGGATACCCGCCTTCGCACAGGCTTCGCCAAAGGCGGCGGGAGCCATGGCGTTGACCGCCCGGGCGGTCACGACATCGCTCTCGGCCTTGTCGACCGCGGTATAGGCCGCGCCGTTGATGACTGCCGCGAAAGGACGCGAAGCGACCATCGCCGCGATGGCGGTGGTATCGCGCAGGTCGAGCGTGTCATGGTCGATCGCGACGATCTCAGCCCTGCGGCGGGCGCAGCGTTGCAGCTCGGTGCCGAGCTGGCCACCCGCGCCGGTGACGAGGATCGCGCAGGGGGGGTATCCGCCGTCATGCCGCCACGCCGCGCCGCTCGGACGCCTTGGCGGCGACCAGCGGACGCCACCCGCTTCGTTGGCCAGATACCATTCGACCGTCTTGCGAATGCCGGTCTCGAACGTCTCGGCCGGGGTCCAGCCCAGTTCGGTGCCGATGCGGCTGGCGTCGATCGCATAGCGCTGTCATGGCCCGGACGGTCGGCGACCTCGGTCATCTGCGCGGCATAGGGCTTGCCGTCGGCGCGCGGGCGCAGTTCGTCGAGGATCGCGCACAGCGTCTTCACCACCTCGATATTCTGCCGCTCGTTATGCCCGCCGACATTATAGGTGCGACCCGGCTCGCCGCGCTCGAACACCGCCTGCAGCGCGCGGACATGGTCCTCGACATAGAGCCAGTCGCGGACTTGGTCGCCCTTGCCGTAGATAGGCAGCGCCTCGCCATCGAGCGCCTTGGCGATCATCAGCGGAATCAGCTTTTCGGGAAAGTGATAGGGCCCGTAATTGTTCGAGCAGTTGGTGATGAGCACCGGCAGCGAAGGTATGCCCCAGGCCGAAACCAGATGGTCCGACCCGCCTTCGACGCCGAATAGGGCGAGCGCGGGTCATAGGGCGTGTCCTCGGTGAACGGCCCAGTATCGCCCAGCGTGCCGTACCTCGTCGGTCGAGATATGGTGGAAGCGGAAGGCGGCCTTGGCCTCATCATCGAGGCTCAGCCAATAGCTGCGCGCCTCGGCCAGCATCGTGTAGGTGCCGACGACATTGGTCTGAACGAAGGCGCCGGGCCCGTCGATCGAGCGGTCGACGTGGCTCTCGGCGGCCAGATGGGTGATGACGTCAGGCTTGAACTCGGCGATCGCGGTGCGCACGGCCTCGGCATCGCAGATATCGCCCTGAACGAAACGGTAGCGATTGCTGTCGGCCACCCGTTCGACGGTTGAGAGCGTACCCGCATAGGTCAGCTTGTCGAAATTCAGGACCTCATGGGTCGTATTCTCGATCAAGTGCCGGACGAGCGCCGAGCCGATGAAACCGGCCCCGCCGGTGACGAAGATGCGCATCTTAGGGAATTCCTTTTAGGAAAGCGGGGCCAGCGGGCGGCCGTCGCAAGGCAAAGGGGCTGTCGAACTCGGCGAGCGTCGGCTGAACCTTGTCCTTCTCGCTCAGCTCAGGAATGGTGCCAGCGGGCATCGGCCAGTCGATGCCGACGCTGTCCCAGCGAATGCCGCCGTCATTCTGCGGCGCATGGGTGTCCGAGCACTTGCAGGTCACTTCGCAATCAGGCTCGAGCGTGGCGAAGCCGTGCGCGAAAACCGATCGGGATGAACAGCTGGTGCCCGTTCTCCGCCAAACAGCTCGGCCCCGACCCACTGACCATGGGTCGGCGAACCCGCGCCGTACATCGACTGCCACGTCATAGATCCGCCCGCGAATACAGCGGACCAGCTTGTCCCCCGATCCGGCGTCTGGAAATGTAGGCCGCGCAGGGTGAAGGCGGGGCGGAATAAGTGGTTGTCCTGCACAAAGGTGCAGGTGATGCCGATGGCGGCGAAAGCCGGAGCGAGTGGACCTCGGTGAACCACCCGCAGGCGTCGCCATGACGTTTGGGGCGAATGGAGTTGGACGGCTGATGACATGCTAGGCGATTAACTTTCCTGCCCTGCACATGCAATCGGACCTTCGCGATCGTTGGCGTTGCGCGGACGTACGCACTGCAGGGGAATGAGGTTCAGGTTATGAGGCGATCTGCTTTTCGCTTTGTGGCAGTCCGCAGACACGCCTATAACCGCAGCTTGGCTTCACGGACAGCGTGGAGTAAAGGCAGCCCTAACTGCAGGCAGGCAATTTCTCCATTAGAAACCAGGGGATTTGCAAAGCCAGTTTTCCGGGACCTAGAAGCGTAATATGTTGAAGCGGGTTCGGTACCAAGTGTTGATGGGCCTCTTGATCGGTGTCGCTGTGCCGGTTTGCTTCGCCAATTTTTGTTTGATGAGCCGTTTTATATATACCCAGATGGCCACGATTTGGGCGGATCTATTGCCATCATTTTGGGCTACATATGCTATAGAAGAATGATTCTTTTCTGGAATATCTTCAGGTGGATACGTCATAACATCAACAACAATCACATTCTCGCTACTTATCGTGATGATGTTCGTGTTGCGTCTGGACTACAGCAGGGCTCAGCTATTCGGGTGTTACATAATTTCTACTGGCGTTTTTGCTGTTTATCCACCCTGAAGTTCGAAAGATCTAAAAAATTTCATTTTGCTTATGTTCCCGGGGGTGTCGCGGATGATCTTCCTACAATCCACGGTGCGCAATGGCACAAAATTATCGCTCAAACGCTACCTTTGGTAAGGTCGGCGCGCCGTGGTTGTTGACACATAGCGATCACGATCCGAGTGGAAAGCGCCATTGCAAAGTGGGTCTTAACTGGGATTCGGTCTATGATGCTCGCCCCGCGAAAAGAACGGTTGACCGGCAAGGTGCAGATCAACCATCTTTATGAAAATACCTTGGGCTCGCTTAATCCAAATAATGTTCTTTTGAAAATCAAGTCGGTTATCGACTTTTTCTGGTTTTGCGGTAGCACTGATAGTTTTCTACCTCTGATGGTTTGCGATCGCCGTCGCCATCAGGGGCGGGATTCTTGAGTCCTGCAATATTCAAGCAGAAGAGAATGGGGTTCGGGCCAAGTTTTTACGGTTTATAAGTTCCGGACCATGCGCGTTGTCGAAGTGGGTCACGATGCTGATGCTCTTCGTCAAAGTGCCATGACGCAAGATGATGACGTCGAATCACGAAGATCGGTAAATTCCTGAAAATCTCGCATTGATGAGATTCACAACTTTTGAACATTGTCAAAGGCGAGATGAGTCTTATCGGCCCTCGGCCGGAGGCATTGTCTCTCAGTGAGTGGTATGAAAAGAAAATACCATTTTATCACTATCGACATATCATCAAGCCGGGGTTGACGGATGGGCTCAGGTTAACCAAGGCCATGTCACCGACGACGTTAATGACGTTCGCGAAAAACTGAATCTCGATTTTACTACGTTAAAAACTATTCGATCTGGCTTGATATATATCATATTGCGCACTGTCGCAATCATGGTGATGGGTACAAGGGGCAAAATAGGTTTTGGTTTGTAAAGCCTGATAAACCAAACGCCGTTTGGGCTGAAGACGGAATATCCACATCGCTGCTGGACCGAACCGTCCGTCTTCGGTAGGCGGTCACAATTTTTACGGAATTGCGTTCGCGCGGCGGCATTGAGATGAAAGAGGACAATATGGCTACGGGGTAAAACGGCGCTTATCACTGGCGTCACCGGTCAGGATGGTGCTTATCTGGCACAGCTTCTGCTGGACAAGGGTACGTCGTTCGCGTGGGCTTAAGCGTCGCTCGTCGTCGTTCAACACCGGGCAGATCGAGGACATTTACGAGATCCGCACGCGCCCAATCCCATTCCACCTGCACCACGGTGACATGACGGACTCGACGGCCCTAATCCGTCTCGTCCAGAAACGCAACCCGACGAAATCTACAATCTTGCGGCCCAGAGCCACGTCGGGTGAGCTTTGAGACGCCGGAATATACCGCGAACGCGGATGCCATCGGCACGTTGCGGCTGCTGGAGGCAATCCGTATCCTGAAGATGGAAGAGAAGACGCGCTTCTATCAGGCCTCGACGTCGAGCTGTACGGCTGGTCGGGGAGGTGCCGCAGCGCGAGACGACGCCGTTCTATCCACGCAGCCCTTATGCGGCCGCCAAGCTCTACGCTTACTGGATCACGGTCAATTACCGCGAAGCCCTATGGCATGCACGCCAGCAATGGCATCCTGTTCAATCACGAAAGCCCGCTGCGTGGCGAAACGTTTGTGACCCGCAAGATCACCCGCGCAGCCGCTGCCATCTCGCTCGGCCGCCAGAAGATGCTCTGGCTCGGCAATTTGGACGCGCAGCGCGACTGGGGCCATGCACGCGAGTATGTCGAGGGCATGTGGCGCATCGTTCGCCGAGACGCCTGATGACTTCGTTCTCGCAACGGGTGAAACGACCCGGGTGCGTACCTTCGTCGAATGGGCGTTCGCGGACGCCGGTATCAACCTGCGTTGGGAAGGCAGCGGCGTCGATGAGAAGGGGTATTGCGGAAACCGGCCGTCTGCTGGTGGCAATCGACCCGCGGTATTTCCGTCAACGGAAGTAGAACTGCTGATCGGCGATCCCACCAAGGCCCGCGAGAAGCTGGGTTGGACGCACGAGACCAGCCCGCGCGATCTGGCGCGCGAGATGGTGCAGGCTGATTTGAAAATCATGCGCGATGCGCCGATTGGTAAGCGCGTGAGCAAGGCGGCAACCCGGCGACACGTCGCCGGGTCTGGATCACTGGTGCTAACGGCATGGTCGGCCGCAATCTGTACGAGCATCCGCAGGCGGCCGATTGGGATATCCCCGCGCCGAGCCGGACCGAATTGAACTTGTCTGATCGACAGGCGGTAAGGGCTTTCGTCAACGCACAACGTCCTGACACGGTGATCCATGCGGCCGGGCAGGTGGGTGGCATCGGGCCAATATCGCGGACCCCGTCGGCTTTTTGGTCAACAATCTCGACATGGGCCGCAATGTCATAATGGCGGCGTCGGAAGAGGGTGTGCCGGCGCTCATCAACCTAGCCAGCTCGTGCATGTATCCGCGCGGGCGGGATCACGCGCTGCGCGAGAGCGACATGCTGACGGGCGAGTTGGAGCCGACCAACGAAGGCTATGCGCTGGCCAAGATCATTTCGACGCGGCTGTGCGATTATATCGCGCGCACCCATGGCGATCGCGCCTATCGTACCGTCATTCCGTGCAATCTGTATGGCCGGCACGACAAGTTCGATCCCAAGGCCTCATCTGGTTCCGGCGATTATCGCCAAGGTCAGTAAGGCTGTAGCCGATGGTGAGGACGAAGTCGAAATCTGGGGCGATGGCACCGCCAGACGAGAGTTTATGTATGCGGCCGATCTGGCCGACGCGATATGGCGAGGCGCGGAAAATCCCGTTGCCTTTGCCCCGGTGATGAACATCGGACTGGGCGACGACCATACGATTCTGGAATATTATGAAGCCGTCGCCAAGGCTCTGGGGTGGACGGGACGGTTCCGTTTCGACCTGACGAGGCCGGTCGGTATGCAGCGTAAGCTGAGCGATGTCTCGCGGCAACGCGAATGGGGATGGAGTGCCCCCACTTCGCTATAAGACGGCATTGCAGCCACCATTCAATTCTATCAGCAGCAGGCATAAGCATCATGACCAAGCGGTTCCCGCTCGCCACGACTTCGTGGGATGAAGCAGAGTATCAGGCGATGCAGGATGTCATCGCCACCGGGCCAATTTTCTATGGGTCCCAAGGTAAAGGCCTGCGAGGAGGCATTCGCAGCCTATGCCGGGACGCGCTATTCGGTGATGTGCAACTCGGGATCGTCAGCCAACCTCCTGATGATCGCGGCATTGCGCTATACCAAGAACCCCTGCGTTGCGCCACGGAGAAGGGCGACGAGGTAATCGTGCCGGCGGTATCACGGAGCACGACCTACAGCCCGTTGGAGCAATATGGGCTGCATCTTCGTTTCGTCGATATCGATCTGGCCACGTTGAATTTTGATCTCGCCGCATTGGAGGCCGCGATCACGCCGCGCACCCGCGCGATCTTCAGCGTCAATCTCCTCGGCAATCCCAATGATTTCGCGGTCATCCAAGCGCTGGCCGACCGACACAATTTGGTTGTGCTCGAGGATAACTGCGAGTCAATGGGGCGGAATTCAACGGCCGCAAGACCGGATCGTTCGGCGTGATGGGCAGCCAGGTTGCTTCTTCTCGCACCATATTTCCACGATGGAGGGCGGCCTCGTCACAACGGATGACGAGGAACTCTACCACCTCATGCTGTCGTTGCGCGCCCATGGCTGGACGCGTCAACTGCCGCTGGAGATCCAGGTTGTCGGCCGCAAGGCGATGATGCGTTCGAGGAGTCGTTCCGCTTCGTGCTTCCGTGCTATAATCTGCGTCCGCTCGAGATGTCGGGGGCAATCGGAATTGAACAGATTGCCAAGCTGCCGCGGCTGATCGAGGAGCGTCGCCGCAATGGTGCACTGCTCCAGCAGAATCTGTCCAATCATACCGATCTGATGATCCAGCAGGAAATCGGCAGCAGCAGCTGGTTCGGGTTCAGCCTCGTGATCCGTCCCGGGGAGCACGATGACTCTGTACCACGCTGATGCAGCGGCTTGAGGCGCTTGGTTTCGAGTATCGTCCGATCGTCAGCGGCAATTTTTGCTCGGAAAGAAGTGGTTCGCTATTTCGACCATAGCATTTTCGGCGATCTGAAGAATGCCGACCATATCGATGCCAATGGTCTGTTCATCGGCAATCATCATTACCCCATAGAGGAAGCGGTCGACGCCCTGAAGACCATCACGGCAAACTGACCAAATTTCAAGTCGGAACAGATCGACCGATCGATCCGCGCCCCACTTGTCAGGCAGGGCGTGGGATTGCTGGCGAAGGTCAGCCATAAGATGTCCGTCGTCAGAAACATTTGGGCCATGGTCGCGGCGTAGCTTAGCGGATTGCGGTCTTCGTCTGGTGGTTGTAGTGCTCGACGAAAGTCTGGATCTGGGCATGTGATCGTCCCTCGGTTTGACGGACACCGATGATAGCCTCTGCGGAGCCGGAGGTGTATGATGGCAATACGACGAAGCGTCGGTTCGGAGGAGTTCAAGCGCGAGGCGGTGGCGCTATGGGAGACCAGCGGCCAGCTACAGACCGAAGTGGCTACGGGTTGGGGATCATGCCAACGATGCTGCGTCGCTGGCAGCGCAAGTTGCAGGAGAGCAGCGCCCTGCCGACAAGCACGGCGGCGAAGCCGCCAGTATCGACGATAGCGTCGCCAGCGGGTCAGGCTGAGATCGCGCGGTTGCGCCGGGGAGTTGGACCGGACGCGGATGAAGCGTGACATCCTGAAAAAGCCGTTGGCATCTTTGCAGAGATGCCGCGGTGGTTCGCTTTCATCGAGCAGCATGCGTCCACCGCCGGTGAACGTCATGTGCCGCATGCTCGGCGTGTCGCGCAGCGGTTATTACGACTGGCGCGGTCGGCCACCGAGCACGCGGACCACGGCGAACTGGCGTTGCTTGGTGACGTGCGTCGTCTCCGTGCGCGTCATCAGGGGGAGTGTCAGGAATTTCGTGTGCGGGCGGGCATAACGGGAAAGAAGGGGCCCCGGAAATGTCCCGACGCAAAGAGCCTGCGATACCGAACGAGCTCCTGAACCGGTTACTGGCTGGTGGTGATGCCGGCACCCGCGCTGGCGCAGGGTAGCCTGCTGGATGCGTTGAAGAAGGCGCTGACCGAGCGCGCGCTGAATGCCGAGATGGATCATCACCGGCCGGGAAGACGGTGCTGGTAACTCGCGCGTAAGCGTCCGGTGAGGTGTCACATCAGGCGGGACGGTAGTTCCACGGCAGCAGTTCAGCGACCCGGCGGGCCGGATGGTCGGCGATGCGGCTGATGGTGTCGGCCAGCCGGGCCCAGGGGTCGACGCCGTTGAGCCCGGCGGTTTCCACGAGACTGTAGATGCTGGCGGCGCGGTGCCGCTCGGTCGGGAGCCGGCGAACAGCCAGTTCTTGCGTCGGGGCGACGCCGCGCAGCGAGCGCTCGGCGGCATTGTTGTCGATCTCGAGGCGGCCGTCGTCGGCATAGCGGGTAAGCGCCGTCCAGCGGGTGAGCGCATAGCGGATGGCGACCGCGAGATCTGAGCGGCGGGACAGCTTTGGTCCGGTCGCGTCGAGCCACTGGCGAAACGCATCGAGCAGCGGTCTAGGGCTCTGGTCTGGCGCGCGTGTCGTCGCTTGTCAGGGGGGCGACCGCGCACATCCTGTTCGACGGCATAGAGGCTGGCGATATGGTCCAGCGCCTCGCGGGCCGTGGCAGAGCCGGTCGCGGCATGGACGTCGAAGAACTTGCGCCTGACGTGCGCCCAGCAGGCCACCTCACGGATGCGTTCGCCATAGAGGCGGTCGAACCCGGCATAGCCATCGGCGTGCAGATCGCCCCCGGAACCGGGCAAGATGCCCGGCGGGCGCTCCCCCTGCGGTCGGGCGCGTAGCGGAACAGCACGGCGGGCGGGGCGTCGCCACCAGCCCCGCGCTCGTCACGCACATAGGGTCCGACAGCCGCCCCGTCTCCGGTGCGACCGGCACCGGGTGCCAGAACCAGGACGGGCGTGTCGTCGGCATGAAGGGTAGAGCCGCCCATGACGTGGCGCTCGAGCGCGTCGACCAGCGGATCGAGGAGCCGGGCCGAGCGCCCGACCCAGTCGGCCGGTGGACCGGGCGGTCGACGCCCCGGCGCGCATAGATGCCCGACTGGCGGTAGAGCGGCAGATGGTCGGCGTATTTGGACACCAGCACATGCGAGCAGCCTGGCACCGGGCCGGCCGCGCTCGATGGGCAGGATGGCAACGGTGCCTGCACGATGCGCTCGCATGACCGGCAGCTCAGCCGCGGCCGGACGTGGCGCACGACCCGGAATGAGGCGGGCACATAGTCGAGCTGCTCCGTGACGTCCTCACCCATGCGCCGCATGGCACCGCCGCAGTCGGGGCATACGCACGGTGCGCGTCATGCACGACCTCGGTGCGGGCAAATGGTCGGGCAGCGGCTGTCGATACGGCTTGGCGGTCTCCCATCTCCGGTGGTTACCGGCATCGCCGCCGTGGCGGCTTCGGCTTCACGCTCTTCCGGCCGAGTTGGAGTTGGTCAGCCTGATGCGTCAATTTCTCCGACGAACGGCCGAAGGCCCATGCGCCGCAGCCGCGCGATCTGCATCCGCAACTGCTCCAGCTCGGCGCCGGCAGCAACGAGCATGGCTTCTGGACGGCGATATCGTCAGGCAGCGAGGCGGCATCGGGCGACACGCCCGCTTATACCAGAACCCCGTGCCGATACGCGAAAGCCGCAGGGAAACCGCGCTTTTCTACCGAGGCCAGGTCGGCTGCGAGACCGGATCGGATGCCGCCAGTCCACTCCCTCGAGCAGCATCGACAACTGCGCCGGGGTCAGCACCGCCACACCGTCCGCGGTTGCCGGCGAATGAACCGGCCCCGTTCGAGACGCTTGGCATGGAGCACCAGCCCCTGACCATCCCACCACAGCAACTGGACCAGATCGCCGCGCCTGCCCCGGAATGCGTACACCGCACCGCCAAACGGATCTGGCGCAGCCGCTGCTGCACCAGCGCGGCAAGCCCGTCGAAACCCTTGCGCATGTCCGTGACCCCTGGGCCGCCAGATACACCCGGACGCCGCCCGGCGGCCCGATCAAGCGAACCCGGCCAGCACGGCCTTCAGCACCGCGCGTCGATGGGAGGTGCCGGTGGATGCGCTGCCGGCCGGGCCGACCACCTCCACCCACCCGGTCCGAGCGGCTCCGGCTGCGGCGCCGTGGACGCGGCAGCCTCGACCGGCACGAACGCCGCCCGGGCAACGGCAACGCTTCGCTCGCCACCCCCATCGCGCAGCAGCGTGCGTCGCCAGCGATACACCAGCGCAATGCACACCGGTGACGCTGCGCCGTCCAGCACGCTCGCCCCCGGCATCATGGGGTCGGTTCCGGCTGAGGGCGAAATGACACCCTAAGCGTTTGCGTCCTTGGGCCAAAGGTATTCGCCCGTGAGGAGGATGTGCGCCCACCCGAGCGGCAGACATGCGCCAGCAGATGGTCAGGGGTGTCAGCCCTTCGCGTCGCCGCGCGTCGACGGCATGGCCGAGGTGCAAGGTGTTCCAATAGACGATGATGGCGGTGAGCAGGTTGAGGCCCGCAATCGGTAATGCTGACCTTCGGTGGTGCGGTCCGGATCTCGCCCTGTCGGCCGATGCGCAGGGCGTTCTTCAGCGCGTGGTGGGCCTCGCCCTTGTTGAGGCCGACCTGCGCGCGGCGCCGCATGCCGGTGTCGAGAATCCATTCGATGATGAACAGGGTGCGCTCGATCCGGCCGACCTCGCGCAACGCTGTGGCCAAGTCGTTCTGGCGCGGATAGGCGGCGAGCTTGCGCAGGATGCGGCTCGGCGCGACCTGCCCTGCGCTCATGGTGGCAGCGCAGCGGAACAGGTCCGGCCAGTTGGATACAATGAGCGTCTCACGCGCCTTGCCGCCTACCAGCGGGCGCAGTTCTGCCGGCGTGGCGGCGGGGTCGAAGACAATACAGCCGCTTGGACGGCAGATCGCGGATGCGCAGCACGAGACGGTAGCCCAGCATGGCGCTGATACCGAACAGGTGGTCGGTGAACCCGCCGGTGTCGGCGTACTGTTTCTCGATCCGCCGGCCCGCTTCGTTCATCGTCAGCCCGTCGAGCAGATAGGGCGCTTCGCTGACGGTCGCGGGGATTGGCTGCGACGCGAACGGCGCGAAGCGGTCGTTGACGTGCGTATAGGCCTTGATGCGGGATCGTTGCCGTAGCGGGCGTTGACCGTGTTCATCGCCTCGCCCTGTCGTGCGGCAGGATAGAACTGGCCATCGGCAGACGCGGTGGTGCCCATGCCCCAGACCCGCGCCATGGGCAGGTCGCCCTGCGCCGCGACCACGGTCGCCAGCGTCGGTCGATCGCCTCGCTCTCGACATGCCAACGCGCGAGGCGGAGAGCTGCCAGTAGTCGTGGGTGTTGCAAGCCTCGGCCATCTTGCGCAGGCCAAGGTTCAGCCCTCGCCGAGCAGGACGTTGAGCAGGCCGATCCGGTCGCCGCACGGCACGCCGGTGCGCAGATGCGTGAAGGCATCGGTGAAGCCGAGCGCGGCATCGACTTCGGAGCAGCAGGTCGGTGATGCGGACGGGCGGCAGGCGGCGATACAGGTCGAGCAGCAATTCCTCGATTCCGTGCGGCGGGTCTGGTGTCGCGGCAGCGAGCGATGAAGCGCCGGGCGAGATCGTCGTTGAGCGCGCCTGTTCGGCTTCACCAAGCAGCCAGTCGCGGAACGCACGGGCCGGTCGCCCTGACCGGGAACGTCCTGTAGCCGTAGGTCCGGCGCAGCACCTCCATAATGCTGCTGGCGGGTCTGACGCCGGACGGCATAGCGGACGAGCGTGTCGCCAGCGATGCCGAGCTGGGCACCGAGGAAGGCCGACACCGCCAGCGGGATGACCTCGCCCGGTACCAGCATCCGGCCGGGATAGCGCAGTGCACACAGTTGCAGCGCGAAGCCGATCCGGTTCTCGGCCGGCGTCGCCGGTCGATATGGATGAGGTCGTCGTCGGCCATGATGTAGTGCCGCGGCAGCGATGCCTCGTCGGTCGGCAGGTCGAGCAGCGCCGACCGCTGCCGGGCGCTCAGGATATGGCGGCGCGGCGGCCGGTGTCCCGGTTGAACAGAAGTCTGTTTTGGACAACACTGACCCCGCACAAATCAAGGCTTTTAGAGCCGATTTTCGGGAGGGTTCAATTGGGACAACGCGCCGCCATCTACGCCCGCGTTTCGACCGCCGACTAGTCGTGCGAGCGGCAGTTGCGTGATCTCGCCGGTTTCGCCGAGCGAGGCGGCGGTGAGGTGATCGAGGTCTTCCGCGAAACCGCCTCGGAGATGAAGGCCAACCGCTCGGCGCGCACCGAGGTGATGAAGCTGGCGCAAGCGCGCCACATCGATGCGATCCTCGTCACCGAACTCAGCCGCTGGGGACGCTCGACCAGGACCTGTTCGATACGCTCAACCGGCTGTCAGGCTGGCGCGTCTCGGTAGTCGCGATGAGCGGCATGACGTTCGAGGTCGACACCCGCACGGGCGGATGATGGCGACGATGCTTGCCGGCATCGCGCAGTTCGAGCGCGACATGCTGAGCGAACGGGTGCGCTCCGGCCTCCCGCTGCGGCACGGGCGCGGGGACGCAAATTGGGAAGACAGACCGGCGACCGCCCCAAGTCCGACCGGCTCGCCCCCAAAGGTGTTGGCGCTCGTCGCCGAGGGCCGCAGCTACCGCTGGATCGCCCGCGACCTTGGCCTCAGCAAAGAACACCGTCGCCGCGATCGTCGGGCGGCGCGGGTGAAGACGATTTCCGATACCCAGCTGGCAGAATGAGTAGCTCCACATCTGATCCGATGGTGGGGTTGGTGATCACCAATGGCGGACGTTGCCATTTTAGGATAAATAGAGCTCATGGAAACTGTAGGCTTCTTCGGACCGGCAGCCCTGATTTGCACTGGCGTGGTGATCGTCAGCTTATTCTCAGGAAGAGTGCCAGCGCGGTGGCCCGTTCCTCGCTATATCGTCGCAGCACGCCGAAGCTTTTGGATGATGATCGTCATATACGCGGCGGGTGCGATCATGAGTGGGCTGCTTGCGGTCAGTTCATCAACTGAGCCCTCACCATCCGCTTCCGTCAATCAGGCCGATCCGCTTAGGGTGTCATTTCGCCCCTAGCCGGAACCGACCCCATCATCGCCTCCGACACGATCCGCGCCTTGTCATCGTCGCTGAACCGTCGCCGCGGCTCTGCCCTATCCATCTCGATAATTCGCGTAGCCATGATGCCGCACCGGTGTCTGCCACAGTGCCGCACCTGTGGCTTGCGCATCACCTCGTCAGCAAGGCGGAGAAGACCGGACGCTTACACGGAGACTATGCTTCATCGGGCTGTACGGCGCCTGAGGGCGCAGGCATGCGGCCCGTGCACCGACCCTTGGAGGCACGGCCCATCTCCGCAAGCGTCATGGATAACACCGGGGCGCCAGCACCGGCCGGTATCGAACCCTGCTGTGTGCTTGCGCCAGCGCGATCAGAACGTGCCGGGGCGGCCGTTGTTTGAAGCGGCGGGGATCGAGGAACCGGCGAGCATGGCCATGCCGGCGATGGCCGCCGCCACCCAGCAAGCCGCTGTCAGGACAGAGGGTAATCCAGCAGACTGGCGGCTGCCTGCCAGCAACAGTGCGACCGTCAGCCCCGCCAATCGGCGCACGACGGGCCAGTTGCGCGCGCGCGAACCCGGACGCGTTTGGTATCGGCCGTCCGACCGCTAGCTGCTCCTTCGAAGGTCCGCTCATCTTCAATCCCCAGCGACAAGGCGAGCAACGTGCCGCGCAGCTGCTTGCGATTGGCGGCGCCCGCGTCCGCCCCGTCGTCGTATAGTACGCGTGTGAGCGCCTGACTGCGTTCGTCAGGCGGCTTTAGCCCCACGTCCCTGCAAACGGCGTCCACGTCGCTACGTAGGCGATCAAGCCGGTCCCAGTCGACGGCGCCGTAATAGCTCTGGGGACGGTGTCCTGGCCGGGATCACCCATTCGGGATCGACGTCGTAAGTGTGCCGGGCTTTGCCATTAGGGCGACTGGTGGCTCCGCCTCGCCTAGTTCCCAGCCGACCAATGTACGCTTGGCATAGCCCAGCGCCTTGGCGAACGCCTCCTGTCCCAAGTTAGCTCTGAGCCGTACCGCCTGATTCGCTCGCCGATAGTGGATGAACCGCTCACGTCGTCGGCCTATTCCGTCATCCTCCTCATTATAGCAATTCTCCACCACAACGCTATCGTGACACCATAGCGGCGCCGGCGACAAGCAATTCGCCGGAATTTCACTGGCGGGGACGAAGATTTCATGGGCGGTCAGGTCAATGTGCGGCTCGGTGACGAGGACGATGCAGCCCTTACCCGTTGTGCGGCCGAGCGCGGGTCGAGCGCGCGACCCTCGCCAAATCGTTCGTTCGGGAATGTCTCGATGCGTGGCGGGATGGGCGGGCGGTATTCGATCGGCCCGAGCAACTGGGGCCCGGTGATGTCGTCGCCTTCGGAGCGGGCTGGACAAGGCGGTCATGGAGATCGACCGCATCGCCCAAGCTTGGGCAGCGCATGAGAGCGACATGCTGAAAGCTCGAGCGTGAGGATCAGCTGGCGCTGACGCGGGTCGGGCCGAGTTTATCAAGGGCATGCCGAGCGCATCACCGCGAGCTTGAATCCGATCAGAGCGGAAATGTTGTTGCTTGCCGAGCGGATCGACAGGCAACCCCGTCCAGACGCCATCGACGAGCGGCAGCGCGACCATAGCGAGCTATTACGAGAGAATACCGCCGCCATCAGGAGCCTCGAGCGACAGCCCCGGACAAACGTCAGCTACACCATCTGGGACAGGGGAATTGTCAGGCCGCAAAGGTAGGTGCGGCGCTGGCGGTCATCTGGCTGCTCTCCGTCTCCAGCTACTTCGTTGGAGCGATGGCGCTGCCGCCATCGTGGTTCGCCGTTCGATCGGCCAATTATCTGCTAGGCGGCGGAGACCGGGCGGTCTGCGCCCGGTGAACTACCGGCTGGCAACCGATAGCTGCCGGACACAGTTCGAAGGGAAGGCAAGCGGGTCACTGTCCGGGCGACACCCGGTACGCCACAGGCAAACAGTGATCTCGGTTGCGGCGGTCGGTTCGGCCTCCGACGCAGCCGCCTATTACGCTCGCGACAATTATTATACCGCTGATCAGGCAGAAGGGGTCGTGCACAGGCAGGCGAGGGGGCCGCCGAGCTGGGTCTGTCGGGCCGGTCGATGCCGAGCGGTTCGGAACAGGTGCTGGCTGGCGAACTCTCCCCAACGGCGTCGTTCTGGACGCCAAACGAGGTGAACACCGGGCGGGTTGGGACATCACCATGTCCGTGCCCAAGTCGGTGTCGATCCCGGCGCTTGTGGGCGGGGACGCACGGCTGGTGACTGCGGTGCGCGAGGCAGCAGCCGCGACCCTCACCGGACGGAGCGCAACATTGCCGAAGGGCGGGTCTGGAATGGCAAGGGACAGGGGCCCGAGATGACCGGCCGGTTCGTCGCCGCCACCTTTCTTCACACGACGTGAACCGCAGCGGCGAGCCGCAGCTGCACGTCCATAACGTCATCGCCAACGCGACCCGCACTGCGGATGGCCAGTGGCGGGCCCTGCACGCGGACCAGCTGTACGAGCGCCAGCATGTCATGGATGCGGTGTTTCTGTCCGCACTCCGCAGCCGAGTTGAGACGCTCGGCTTTGCCACTATCCCTCGGCACGACGGCCGCAACGGCGCCTTCGAGATTGCCGGCGTGTCCCGCGCGGTGGTGGAAGCATTTTCCGGCCGATCGGCCGAGATCGATGCATACATCAGGAACGCGGACTGGAGAACACAGCCCAGACGCGCGAATATGCGGCGCTGGCGACGCGCGCGCCCAAATCGTCAGATATTGCCGCAGAGCAGCGCGCGGAAGGATGGCGGAAGCTGGCTGCTGAGAAGGGGCTGAATCCGGCAGCGCTGGTGAGGGATGCACTGGCGGAAGCGCGGCGGGGATATGATGTGTGGACGCGCGCAGTGCGGGGCGTACGCGGAATAGGCGAGCGTGGGGTGGCCATCGCCGGCCGTATGGGGGCTGACCCGCGCGACGGCGACCCGCTGGTACCTGAACGGCTGGGACGGCTGGAGCCGCGAGCCTATGCCACGGCGCAGGCGGTCGCATCGGCGGTGCGCGACCTGGGTGAGCGAGAAGCAGCGTTCGACCGGCTAGAACTCATCCGCGAGAGCTTGTCGCGTGGCGGGCCGGTGACGGTCGGCGATGTCGAGGCCCGGCTGGCGCTGTTGCAGGAGAAAGGCCTGCTGCTCAACGATGACGATCGCATGGTGACGACGCAGGGGCGCGGTGCGGTTGGAGCAGGCGTATCTTGCCACGGTCGAGGCGGGAAGGGACAGTCCGCCCCGATCGTTCCGCCGGTCGACGCCGCGATCCGGGTGCAGGAGGTAGCACGCGAGCTGGGGCTGCGCCGGCTCAATCCACCCGTAGCCGCAGCCGTGTTGATGCTGTCCTCGTCCGATCGAGTGGTGAACGTGCAGGGCGGGTCGGGACGCGGCAAGTCCACCGCGATGGCGCCGGTGACGGCGGTAGCGAAGGCGGAGGGCGAGCGGTGATCGGGCTTGCCATCGCCAGCGTGAAGGCGAGTGAATTCGGCCGCGACACCGGCGCGGACGTGAGCACTGTCGCCCGTTTTCTGACGCGTCATGCCCGCGTGATCGACGGCACCGCCCGACCGGAACAAGTCGCCCGCGTGAAAGCGGAGCTGGCGGGTTCGATCATCATGGTCGAGGAGGCCGGGCAGCTCGGTACGCGCGACATGGAACGGATCGTGCGGTTTGCCAATATCACGGGCGTCGCGCGCGTCGTGCAGACCGGCGATACTCGCCAGCTGACCGCGATCGCAGCCGGCAAGCCGTTCGAAGCGAGCCAGCGAGCCGGTGTCGTCACAGCCCATATCACCGAGAATCTGCGTTCCAGATCCGATCGGATGAAGGCGGTCACTGCCGCACTCGACCGCGGCGACGTGTCGGGCACGTTCGAGTTGCTCAGGCCTGCCACGACCGAAGTACCGGGCAGCGAGGTGGCGACCACGGCTGCGGCGCAGTGGGCAACGCTACCGCGAGCCGAGCGTGACGCCACCCTCCTCCTGACCGCCGGCCGCACCATGCGGAGCGAGGGCCAACCGGGCCGTGCAGGCCGAACTGAAGGCGCGTGGCGAGATTGCCGCTACCGGCACATCGTTCACCGTACTCGACCGGTCAACGCCACCGGGGAAGGCGCGCGGCTGATGCGCGCCTACCGGCCCGGCCATGTGTGGTGGAGGTGCGCACCAATCTGCCGAGCGGGGGCCTCGTCCGGGGCGATCGTGGTGTCGTGACTGGCGTCGACGAGGATCGAGTGCGGCTCGGCATGGCGGACGGGACCGAAAAGCTGTTTCGTCCCGGTCGGCTAGCCAAAGAACCTCGACCGCGATGCCGTGTCGATTTTCGCGTTGAAACAAGTCGAGCTGCACATCGGCGACCGTATCCGTTGGAGCGACAACGACCGGACCCGCGAGCTCGATAACGGTGCGATGGCGCGGGTGGATGAGGTGGGCAGGGGCAGGCTGGTCGTGTCCTCACTCGTCGACGGCGCCGTGCATGAGATCGCTTCCGGCGATCGTATGGCCGAGCGGCTGGACCTTGCCTATGCGATCAACGTCCATGTCGCGCAGGGGTCACGACCGACCACGGCATCGTGGCAATGCGGTCGTCGGGCGCAAACTGCTGACTGAGCGCTCTTTTCTAGTCGCGCTGACCCGCGTGGCAGACAAGGTGGCGCTGGTGGTCGACGACGGGCGGAAGGTCGAAAGGCATGTCACCCGCAATACCGGCGACAAGACCTCAGCGCTCGACGTGGTCAAACAGGTGCCAGAAAAACATCTGTCGCTTGATGGACCATCGGGGGCGGGGACGGTCGCGGGACTTCGGTCTGGAAATGTAGGTGTGATAGAATAGCAGTCATTGGAACGTCCGATTTTGACCATCCTCTCACCCCCCTGATCGCGCGCGTCCGAACCGTTGCGATCGGCGGAATCGGCGCCCTACCACCCCAATTCAAAACAGCTTGCGCACCCCTGATCCGGATCGATCGGCCACCGGGTCAATCAGCGCGGGCTGAAAGCGGTTCGGCGTCTGGCCGTTGCGGTCGGTGACATTGATCCGGTCGTTGAGCAGGTTCTCGATCGTGAAATGGATCATCAGGCCCTTGGTCCGTGGCTTGTCCACGATCTTGTGCGTGTCGAGAAAGCTGTAGAGGACCAGCCAGTCCGTCCGGAGAATTGCAGGTCGGAGGCGGCGATGTCGCTGCGGATGCGGGTCGGCCCTGGACCCGGCCATACATCCCCAGATTGGCGATCCCGTAATTGACCGAGCCGTTCAGTTCGACATCCCAGCGCGGTCGCCCGCCGGTGCCGCTGAGCGTCGCGCCGTCGAGCAGGTCGAGGACCGCCCCGCCGTCGCGCAGGGTCAGCCGGTCCTCCAGCCGGTATTGGTCGTCGCCGACATCCGCATTTGCAATCGCGGCTTGGGCGGGCGGGGCAGGGGGCGCGGTCTTGGCCGCATCGGGGGCGAGGGGGGCGGGGGGGCGGTGGGGCTTTGCCTGTGGTCGCTCGGAGATCGACGGTCATGCGCAGCTTGCGCTCACGCTCGAAAGCCAGTTCACCGGACGCAGATCGACGCTGATCAACTGGCCGAGCGCGTCGCGGCGGAACAGGTCGGGAAAGACGCGCTGGAACGCCGGCGTGGCCCCGCCCAAGGAGACCGCGGTTGTCGATCCGCGTGTCGAGATAGTCGACGCTCAGCCGGATATCCTTGTCCCGGATCGGCTGGAGCGCGATGCCGAGCGTGGTGGTCCGACGCCGTTCGGGCGCCAGTTCGGGATTGCCGCCCATGATGGTGGTGACCAGCGTGCTGCGCC